GCTTACTTTGCATTTGGCTTGATTACTGTATGACTTACCTATATCTTTTGTAAATTTTAAGCTTGTTTGGCTTGTTAGGGAGAACACTGCTGTTTTCCTTCTGACTACTGGTTTTGGTATGGTTAATCATATAGTATATTTCTTAACTTCATGCTCTTCAGAAATTTGATGAGAAGGGCATTTATTTTTTAACAGGAAGTGTCTTGACAGTATTAGTTTTAAATCTACAGAGAAGATAATTTCTCAAATTATACTTAAAACTTTACTATAGCTACAATGTAGTTATGTTTCACAGAGACTAGGATCAATAATTCATCTAGATTTAACTAAGGAAATTATGACAAAGGTTAGATCTTTGCAAGCATTTACAGACAATCATGCCACCGCCAGGTGCTGGGGAACACTTGGGCCTGGTGGAACTTGGGACTCTTATCAAGCACCAGCACCAAAGATCTACCTGGGCCCACTGCCTGTACCATCAAGGACCTCATCCTTCTGTCCTACCATGGGCCTCTGTGGGGGCCAGAAAATGGTGTTGGCACCATGATATTTGTATACCTTATTGTATATGGTTTGTTGTTAGAGGTATAGCACTTATCTGTCAATTCATTATATTGGGGACTGCTTTGCATGCTGCTAAGTGAACTCTGGTGTCTTAGTGGTAAGAATCTATGCTGCAATCCTGAAGGCATGCAGTTCGAATTCACAAGCTGCTTCATGGAAAAAGGATGGGCAGTTTCCTCTAATGTGATTACTGCCTATAAAAGCCCACTAAAGGGTCAACTTATTGGTCAGTTCCAACTCGATAGCACATAACAATGACAACAATAACTATTTCATCGCTGGCTGTGTATGTGCTTGCTTGTTTATTATTTGCTCTTATTAGTACAGCATTTGTCTCTCAGTCTCTTGTACTGATGTAATTTGTGTGTGCATATTTGAGAAACGAGCATATTTCATTAATCTGAAGGCAGCACAAAGAGAGAACAATTAGAGGAAAGAGGCAGAGAAGAGTATTAAATTATAAGTTACATAAATTATTTTTTAATGTAGGAATTACCATAAACCATTAACTCTGGGTATCAAATTGACTATGACTCATCATGATCCCATGTGTACCAGTGTAGAACTGTCCTCTGTAAGGGCTTTGGAGCATGATTTTTTTTTTAAAGTAAATTTTAAGGCCATTCTTCTGATGTGGACTTAGCAGGAAAGTAGAATAACCACTTGAATCATTGAATCACACTTCTTTTGTTGTAGTTACATGCTGTTGGGTTCATGGTGAGCCTATGAAAACAAATCAGACCCCTCTCTAATGCTATCTCATTCTTTCATATACTTGAGCACACTGATACAGGCAGTGTGTCATTTCATCTTGCTGGAAGTTTCCCTCCCACTGACATTTCCAATTACGAGGTCTTTATCCATTGACAGGCATCTCCTAACACTATGTCCAAGTAAAAAAGTTATAAAGTCAAAGATGGAAAATCAGATCTATATTTTATCTCAGCCTTTTAAAATATTTTAGCTACAAAAATGGCAAAATTTATATTTTGTTCCTCAATCTTTGAAAATATTACTCAGGTTGCTTTGTAGCTAAATGAAGAAAGAGTAAAAGTGAATTTACTGAAATAGAAAACCAGATAGAGCCAGACTTTTGTTGGTAGTAGTAGAGATGAAGATAAATATATAAAGGAGATAAAATGCATAGAGTTTGTGATCAGTTTTAGATGAAGGAAAGAGTTGAAAATGTCACAGGTTACTCCTATATGCTGGCTAATATAACGCGATTCTTGGTACTAAATTGAGTCACTTTCAGTTTTGGATTGAGAGCGGATAAATATTATTCATTTGGTTTTGAATGTGCTGATTTTGAGATACTTTAGAGATGATGAATTTCAAGAGACTGAAGAAGTTATATACCCTTTAACTAAGTAATCCCCAAACTCTGAGAATATGGAGTAAACAAACAATGATGGCAGGTGGGAACGGCAAGAGTTCTGGGTGAGAATGTCCACAGCCATGTTTTATTATTAAGAGAACAAAAAAAATGAAAGCAATGTTAGTGTGGTAAACAGAGAAACCATATAAAACTTTACTAAATCTAACAAATATAATCTTATTTAGGCATTTGAATACTAGATGTACTTTAATACATTGAATGCTAGAGCAACATAGAAAATATTCTAAAATACTAAGTTAGGAAAAAAAGGTAAATTAATATTCACATTGTAAACTATCCCAGAATTAATGACAATTAAACTTGGAAAATGAAGAGAAATGGCTTTATAGCCTATTACAATTACAAATGCACTTCTTTACTTTTAAAATTATTCATAGGTTTATATTATCTTTAGCCTTAAAAATATATCTAATTTATATACACTGTAGAAGATTTCTTATTTATTTATCAAGACCAGAGTTCTGATTACTTAAATGAAGATTTATACTTTTTTCCCCTTAAGGTAAAAATGCTTAAGGCTCAAAATTTTTTTCCCCTGCCCACTAGGTAACATGTCTTGAAATAACTCTCATGATTTATAATTTTTACTCAAAAGATGATGTTGTTGTTATGTGCCATCAAGTCGTCTGTGACTCCTAGCGACCTTATGTACAACAGCCTTAAGTCCTGCTCTATCCTGTGTCAATCTCACTCTCTCTGACACACCCTTCCTTATTACCCCAGTCACTGAATCAATCCACCTCATAGAGGGTCTTCCTCTCCTGCGCTGTCCGTCCACCCTCCCAAGCATGATGTCCCTCTCCAAGGGCAGGTCCCTCTTTGTCCAAAGTATGTCAGACGAAGCTTCAGAATCCTTGCCTACAAGGAGGAATCTCGTTTAACCCTCTCCTGGATGAACCTGTTCGTTATTTTGTTTTGTTTTTTAATTATCAAGTTTCACTTTATTATTTTTTAAATACTTATTAGTTTAGGGTTTGTTTGGTTTTTTTTTGTTGTAGCACATTTTCTTCCCACCCCCCTGCCCTGTATCGAGAACCCTTGTTCCAGATTGTTGCTTACATGTAATGCCTAATCATATATTCCTTTCAGGCAGCTCTTCCCTCATCTGTTCTAATGTGATGGTCATTATCTACTTAACTGTTTTTCCACATTCCCCTCAACCTTCTCAAAATATTTTGACTTTAGACATGGTTGCAAGTATTTATGTAAAAAAAAAAAAGGGATCTGATTTGAAGTGCTTGTTTTTGGGTTGTGAGTGTAAACTTTTATTAATTAAAAATCTGAATTATTATGTAAAGCATAGTTTTTGAAGGCAATTCTCTGAATTATTTTTCTGCAGTTGAAGTATCCTGTGTTATAAATTGGTGCAATAGATAGATATGTATATATACCTAAAATTTAGCTATCTAATAATATATGGATTTGGGTTAGTCTTCTTTGCTATTATGAAATATAATTCTTAAGCTTCTAATGTGTCAAGATTATAAAAAAATTATGATGATGATGGTACATCTACTGTGGATAGTAATTACAATTATAATGATAGTGATAATAAAATATAGCTATTTAGTAAAACTACATTCTGTGCGTTGCTGTACAGAGGTAACTCGTGGTTGCTGTGATGCTGAAGCCTGTGACAGTGATGTGCCAATCGTGGTAATGGGCACCCAATGGTGGACAGTGTTGGCTGGAGCTTCCTGACTAAATCAAGCCTGGAAGCAGGAGCGGCATCCACTTCCAAAATGGCTTGCCTCTGGAAATTCTATGTACGAACAGTGCTCAGGCTGTTCGTTCATAGGTTTGCTATGAGTCGTCTACGACTCGAGGACATTAAACAACAACAACAAACACATTGCATTTTATAATTAATGGTAGTTATTAAAAGTATGAAAACCAAGTTAAAGCAGTAGATTAAGTATCGCACCTTTGAAACTGATTTTTCTACAAGTTTAAAAATCACCTGATGATTGCCTGAATGAAAATTATTTAAGGTGACTTCCAAATGGAAAACAACAAAAAACAAACAAAACACAGGAGTGCTTTCCAAATAAAATTAAAAAGAAATAAGCATTGCCAGATTTATCCATACTATGTTGTTAATAATATATTTTTAGTTTCATTAGCATTTTTTTATAAAATCCTGAAATATGATTTCTATGTCAATGAACAGTAAAAATTTCACTTAAGGAGTCTAGAAGAATTGAGGCAACAAGTAATTTTGATTTTCAAAGAATTGGCCTTTTGGGTCCACCTATTCATTCCACAGTAGAAAGACCCTGTTACCTGGTCTCATAGAGATTATTGTTGCTAGTGTGTGCCATTTGAGTCAGAACAAACCTATAGCTGACCCTCCAGCAGATTTTCAGAGGCAGTAATAGCTCTGGAGAAGACTGCCTACTTACTCTCCCATGGAGCAGCTGGTGGATTTGAAGTACATGCCTTGCGGATTGCACTAGGTCACCAGAGCTCCTAAAGATTACAACATAGAAAGCACTAAGGAGAAGTTTTATGTTGCCTACAGTCACTATGTATCATTAATAGTCTTGACAGCTTCTAACAAAAATAATACTGGTCAAATGCTCTACCCTGCTAAAAATGGTGAAATCCATTCAGAGGTACCTGAGAAGACAGGCCTGGAGATTTTTTTTGAAAGTTCACTACTTTGAATACCAATTCTGCTCTATACTCATAGGGTTGCCAGGAGAGGAAGAGAACCCATCGTAAATAACCATGACTTGATAGTTGAAAGTTCCCAAAACAAAGATTTATGGGTTTAAATACTGATATCAATTCTGTCATTATATTACCTCATTATTAAATATTTATTAATTTTGTAATATTGGACTTAAAATAATTAATCAGCCTCCTATCTACATGTTTACAAACCAAAATTAACTTAATTTAGACATTATTAATTAATTTTAAGCATAATTAATAATTTGCATTTTGGTTATTAGCACATGACATAAACATACATATAACACAGCATTTACCAGACACCATTTGTGAAATTTAAAAATATTTTAAGTGTACTTACTTGAAATAAAAGAATATACCAAGTGAGATAAGTAGTGATGCGATAGATAATCCATGTCCAATTATAGTCAGGTAAAACAAATTCATTGCAGTCTATAATTTGGAATAATAAAATGGATTTTATTTTATTTAAAAAATTAAAGTTCATTTTATTACCGTAAGTACTGATACTATTTATGCAGAAGCTCAAATTCAATTAAGTAAATTTTAAAAAACATATAAATAAGTATAGCTTTATAGCAGATAGCTTGAAAATCAATACTTGAACACATTTGCAATGAAGACTATACAGATTTACCATGTGGTTTACAAAAATTTCTAAAAATCTGGGAGACATTGACTTTTTTCCTATCCCCTGTGTATTTTATACCAAAATAGTACATGACAATTGCATTTTTTCCTTGTCTTTTGCTTTTAGAGTAGATTTTCTTTATAAAATTTGATATATTAATACTGAAACTTATAAAGATGGTATTACTTAACAGGCATATATACTAAATGTAAGCACAAAATAAAAAAATAATACTGTCAACAAAGTTTTATTCTTAAATGGTTTTTCTCAAATTATACTATGAAAATCTTTAAAGTGAAATGAAACATTGGCTAATTTTTTCCAATATTGTATTAGATAACTTTTAGAAGAGTGTGACTTAAATGTCCATTGACAATTTTTACATACCTTCACTATCTGAGGAGTGTTTTGAGTACACCGTGTGTAATCTGTCCATGTTCTGTTACTTGCTGGATGTCTAAACCAGTTTCCATCTAGGTCACAAATCTTTATAACTTTTTCTTTATTTTAAAATTAAAAAGGAAAAAGAGAAAAATTATTTAAACTAGGATTAATTGAGAGGATGCCAGGAAATTAGTATGTAAGTTGTTGGTTTTACCTGATGGGTCAAAGTCCTGAAAGTAATCGGGACAGCGCTGCATTGACTCCGTTCCTGCTGCCACATCATTCCAACACAACCATCCATCCCAAGTTCTGTTGCAGTAAAGGCCTTAAGGGAGAGTAAAAACTGTAGTTAGCTAGGAATAACCAAGCACACTTTCTACTTACACATGATGATATAAAAATCCCAATGTTGGTTTCCTGTGGATGTGTAACAAAGATTGCCTATTGAAAATACATAATATAGAATCTATAACAATTTTCTCCAATTTATCACCTAATAATTATTAAAACTTGTCATTTCAACAGATCAAGAGATCGCATGGTTTAATATCAGCAATGTGTGAGTTAGGGCTATTTCCTTTCTCCAAGCCTATTCAATCCTGAGCAAAGAATCCAAGAATCTGGACAATATGAAATAGAATATGGGCTTAAAATTGGTGGACGAGTCAGCAAAATCCTATAATATACGGACAACACACACCTTGCTTATTGAAAATGAAGAGAACTTGAAGCACTTACTGAAGATTAAAGACTACAGTCTTCAGTATCAATTACATCAACATCAAGAAAATAAAAAAATCGTCATCCCTGAATTAATATGTAACATGATAGATGGAGAAAAGATTGAAGTAGTCAAGGATTTCATTTTATTTCAACCTACAATTGATGGCAATTGTAGCAACAATCAAGAAATCAGATAGTATATTACACTTGCTAATTCTGTTGTCGGGGACTTCTTTAAAGTGTTAGAGAGCAAGGAAGCCAGTTTAAAGACTAAAGTGTACTTTTTCCAAGTTATGGTATTTTCAGTTGTTTCCTGTACAAGTTAAAATCTGACAATAAATGTGAATAATGGTAGAAAGGGAGTTCCGGTGGCAAATAGTTGTGCTGCAATCCCAAAGTCACACAGTTTGAATCCACAGGCTGCTCCACAGGAGAAGGATGGGCAGTCTCCTCCTGTGTGATTGACTACCTCTGAAAACTCACCAGAGGGTCAGCTATGGGTTGGTTCAGACCCGATGGTATACAACAACAACAATAACAGAAGAATAGAAGTCTTTGAATTGTGGGATTGACAAAGAGTATTGACTGCCAAAAGAACAAACAAAACTGCCTTGGGAAACATGAAGCCACAATATTCTCTTCAAGGTGAGGGTGGTCTCACCTACCTTGGACATATTGTAAGGGAGCTATAACTTCCTGGAAAAGAACAACATGCTTAGAAGGGTAGAAAGTCACCAAAAAAATGGAAGACTCTCAATGGTACGGACTGAAATAATGACTGCAATGATGATTTAAGTATGGCAGAGATTGTGAGGAATGCATAAGATCAGGCAGAGTGGCAATTAGTTATACACGGGGTCACTCACTACGAGTTGAAGTCAACGGATTGGCATCTAATGACAAGAGGATGGCACAGTGGTTAAGCTGGCTAGTATGTCGAAGGTAGAAAAGAGCTGATCATTTGTATAGCCTCTTTGTTAGTTTTATCAAGTAGCTTTGAGTAAGAGTCAACTTGACAACCCATAATAACAATTATAAAAGAAGTGATTTCTAAATTAAAGTTAGAAATATCCTTAAAAACACAGAGGAGCTCAACCAACAAAACCACTTACAGTCAAATATTCCATTTGTACAGATATGTTGCTAGTAAGCATAAATCCTTTTCGATGTTGTAATTTCAGTGGATGGAAAACACACCTCAGAATTTTCATTCAATAATTGATTTGTTATCATGAATGATTGGTTATCATTCATGAATAAAATATTAAATGATATGCTGGCTGATAAGTATGTATATATGTATTACTTTTCTGAAGTGTTTAATGGGAACTTGAAATAATACTCTCTACTTTTGAAAACTTTTAACATTTTTTGTGCCCTTCATAACTCTTTTCTCTGACTTCTGTAGAGCAGGAATAGATTAGTTGCTGATCTTCCATTGGGTTTCCAAGATTGTAAATCACACAGAAGGAAATTGCCCTTATTTCTTCCGAATAGCAGCAGTGGATTTGAATTGCAAGAGTGGAATGACAGTTAGCAGTACATTTTCCTCAAGTCTACTTCACCAGAGTCCACTAAATCAGTATTAAATTTATTAAAGTATAAAGCAAATATGTTACTGTGAAGGGAAATTTATAAATGTATATATATTCAAAGTAATAGCAATTACTACTGGCCATTTTTCTACAAAAGCAGAATAGACTTTATATTATATTCAAAAGAGACATGTCCATAGGTGCCTTCTCAAATGAATTTGTAAGCCAGGGACTATTTAATAAAGGTTTGATTAAGTTTCCTGGCTCCTGGAATTTATCCTGTTTTCAATCTAGGTCTACATGGAGCATGCCTGAGAAGTCGGACAAATACTTTACTTAATAAGTGTTATAAAACAACTTACATATCTTAACAGAAACAGAAACACTTATATTGTTTTATACAAAATGATGTTTATCATGTTATTTTATTATGTAAATTCAAACAGGAAGCTGATGAAAAAGAAAGTTCATATTGCATGAACTCACTGTCAACCAATAATTTAATTGAAAACATATTTTTAATAT